TTTACCTCCTCTTCTGAGGAAGGGGTTAGTGTGTTTTGGTTGTACACAGAATAGTTGTATTATGTTAGGCAGTATTATGACCTTGTTATTGTGTTTATTTGGAGATAAAGTATGGTTTAAGAAGATGTGTATGGGTGCCATATTGACAGGGGGTGAACTTGTGATGGTAAATTTTATGTTAACTTGACATTTGGTCAAACATTATTCTGGGTGTGTCTATGAAGGTGTTTCGTGAGATTGATATTTAAATCAGTAGATTGAATAAGGCAGATTGCCCTTGTAATGTGGGTGGGCCTCAACCAATTACTGAAGACCTGAATAGATCAAAAATGCTGAGTTAAGAGTAACTCCTCCTTTGGGCTGGCCCGTGGCTCACTTGGGAGAGTGTGGTGCTGATAACACCAAGGCCACGGGTTCAGATCCCTATATAGGGATGACTGGTTAGTTCACTTGGGAGAGCGTGGTGCTAACAACACTAAGTCAAGGGTTAAGATCCCCTTACTAGTCATATTTTAAAATTAAAAAAAAAAAAAAAAGAGTAACTCCTCCTGCCTAACTGCTTGAGCTGGGACATTGGTCTTTTCTGGCCTTGTGACTCACTGAAACATCAGCTTTTCTTGGGTCTTGAGCTGGTTGGCTTTTGGTCTAGAATTACATATCAGCTGTCCTAAGTCTGCAGATTGCCAACTGCAGATCTTGGGACTCCTCGGCCTCCACATCATGTGAGCCAATTCTTCATAATAAATAAGCACATTTCCTATTGGTTCTGTTTCTCTGGAGAATCCTGACTAATACAAGCATTATACTTCACATATAAAATAACTTAATAGGCTTCCAGTCAAGATGGTGGAATAAACAGTCCCCAGCATCACTCTGTCCCAGAAATCAACCAATTTACAACTATATAAAAGAAGCAACGACAGCCAAGCTGGGGCTGCTAAAGCTCAGGGGAAGAGGAGAGACCTATGGAGTGCATGAAGGTGGGAGAAGCCACGATGAGAGAAAGAAAAAACCTCTCAGACCATTTTGTACAATGACGGCTTTAAGGCTGGAGCTGCTGAGTGCATGTAGCAGGAGCTGGCAAAAGTCGTAGCTGTGCCCTTCGGATGAAGTTGCTTGGAGGCGGCAGGAGAGAAGAGGGCCTTGGTGGCCCCCAGGCCAGCAAGACCACTAATAGGGTTCCCGTGGACCCACATAGGAGCAGGGAGCCACAACAACTGAACAAAAGGAGCCACTCAGAGGCCAATGAGTCATCGCAAGGCCCTTCCCATGGGAAGTGTTTGTAGCACAGGCGGTGCAGGAGATGGGCCCACTGGGAGAACACTGGGGGAAGCAAGGACAGCTGACTGGCACCCCAATCAGCAAAGCACCACTCAGAGGAGACTGGTCAGGAATATAGAATTGCAAGGGGTGCAGTTTGAAAAGACTCAGGCCCAGATCAGAGTTTCTACACAACCTAGATGCACTTGGTCTCTGGAGAGCCATAAGTACCTATAAAGTCAACCATTAAAACCTGAGCTGCACAAAAAGCCTTCCCTAGGTAATCAGCAGCAAAGCATCAATTTAGCTAAACCACACAGCCCATGTACTGGTCCCCCATTTTAGAAGTAAATAAAGGACAAAAAATTAGTTCTGGCCCAGGCACACCATCAGCACCCCAGGCCTGCCCAGGAACCTGAGGTATGGAGCCAGGGACCAGACCCCCCTCCCACAACCAGGCACACTACCTGTGCCTCAGGGCCCACCTGGGGTCCTGAGGCATGGAGTGGGGACTGTACTCCCCCCTCAACCAGACATACTATCAACGCCAAGGAGCATGACAAAAACATTACGTCCTTGTGAGTGGCCCACCACAGCACCACAATAACCACAGCTGCCACAAAAGCAGCTAGACAACACAACCCACCACGCAGATGGTCTGCCAGCCACTGGAGTGCATTGACACAAGGAGAGTCACCAGCAGAGACCAAAGAAAAGAAGAGGATGTCTCTTTACAAAGCCCATTCCAGAGTGACAAAGAAGCATCTGCTGTATGATAATATTGGGGGACCTGATCACACCTCTCAGCATTGGACAGATCATCTAGGCAACAAATCAACAGAGTAACCATTATTCTTTCAGAAGGAGAGAAGAAATCTAGGGTTATCAGAGGGGAGAGGGGGAAGGGAGGGGGGTTAGGGAGAGATTGGACAAGGGGCATAAAGAATAAGTACAATTTGTAACAATATGTATGCTAGTAATAATGGGCCAGCCCGTGGCTCACTCGGGAGAGTGTGGTGCTGATAACACCAAGGCCCCGGGTTCAGATCCCATATAGGGATGGCTGGTTAGCTCACTGGCTGAGCGTGGTTCTGACTACACCAAGACAAGGGTTGAGATCCCCTTACCGGTCATCTTTTAAACAAACAAACAAACAAACAAAAAAATATATGCTAGTAATATTGATTTGATCAACATATGTTAATGTTGAATGTCAAAAATATGTATAATCAATTATGATTCAATAAAAATTTTAAAAAAATTTTTTTAAATAAAATTTTTAAAAATAATAAAATAACACAATTGAGGCACATTTTGCATATCACATAATTTACTCTTTTCAAGCGTATAATTCCGTGACTTTTTAAAAAAATTACCAAGTTGTTCAACATAAATCAGTTTTAGAACATTTTCGTCATTCTGATATGATCTCCTCATGCATATTTACTATTAATTTCCTCTTCCCTCCTCCAGGCAATGGATGGTTGTCTTAGTTTAGGATGCTGTAACAGAATAACATACACTGGGTGGCTTAAACTACAAATATTTATTTCTCACAGTTCTGGAGCCTGGGAAGTCCAAGATGAAGGTACTAGCACATCTCGTGTCTGGTGAGGGCACTTTTCCTGGTTTGTAGACAGCAGACTTCTAGTATCCTCACAAGGCCAAGAGAGACAGGTCTAGTCTCTTTCTCCTCTTGTAAAGACACTAATCCCATTACGGGAGCGTCACCCTCATGACGTCTAAATCTAATTACCTCCTTGAGAGAGGAAAAAATACAACCTGCTTTTTCTATTCTTATACACCATAACAATTAACACAGAAGACTTCTGTGACTAAATGTGTGGGGATTCCTCCCCACCAGAAAGCAAGAAAATAATTCTCTATAAGACACCAGCTGGGTGTCCTCCAACTCAATTCTGACACTATCTACCTGGAGATAGTATCAGATCCCACAGGTGGAGGGCTCAGTCCCCAAGACTGCCTCCCAATTACAATGCCAATTGCAAGCCCCAGACTGTTTTACTTGTGTTTCTGACTGACTGGCTATAAGTATGGGTTTCCAGAACCCATGCCTTGGGTTCAACTAATTTGCTGGAGTGGCTCACAGAACTCAGGGAAACACATGCTTGCTTATGTTTACCAGTTTATTATAAAGGATATTACAGAGGATACAGGTAAAGAGATGCATAAGGACAGGTGTGGGGAAAGCAGTGCAGAGCTTCTATGCCCTCCTCAGGGGTGCCACCCTCAAGGAAGGTGTTCAGCTATCTGGAAGCTCCCCAAACCTCATCTTTTTGGGTTTTTATGAAAGCTTCATTACATAGACATGATCGAAGCATGGAGAACCATGTAGAAATTTGGACAAAAAGGGTATGATCTAATGCTAATAGACTGGGTGGGGAAACCCAGCAAGACCTGTTTGTTCAGATTCTTCTTGGCCTCTCTGTGGAGCATTCCTTCCTTCTAGGTATGGGGCAGGACCCCTCCTGAAATGGGGTCTGTTTTTTTTTTTTTTTTTTTTTTTTTTTTCACATACAGTCAAACAAGGTAGATCAGAGAATTTCTTTACAGCCAGTGCCAAGACAGAAAGGCAAGTGAAGATTAGAGTCCTGCCTAGGGGAGCCAGGAAACATGGACAAAAACATATATATATAAAATCACATTCCCAAAGCCCCGCCTCCTAATACCATCCCATTGGGGTTAGAGTTTCAACAGTAATCTACTACTTCTTTTTATCTTTATAGTTTGGCCTTTTCTGGGTATTTCCTGTCAGTGGAACCATACAATATGTGGTTTTTTGTGTCTGGCTTCTTTCACTGAGCATAATGTTTTTGAGGTTCATCCACATCGTAGCAGGTGTCCATAGTTTGTCCCTTTTTATTTCTAAACAGTATTCCATTCTACAGACAGCATATTGTGTTTACCCATTCCCATGTTGATGGACATTTAGTTGTTTCCGATTTTTCCAGTTGGTCTACCATGAGCGATACAGCTAAGAACATTCCTGTGCAAGTCTTTGTATGGATACATGTTTTCGTTTCTCTTAGGTAGATCCCTAAGAGTGAAACTGCCAGGTCACATGGTAAATTTATATTTAACATTTTAAGAAACTGCCAAACTGTTTTCCAAAGTGGCTGCACCATTTTATATTCCACAAGCATATTGTTCTCATTTCTCCACATTATCTCCAACATTTATTATCTTTTTTATTATGACCTGCTATTAAAAACAAACAAACAAGGGGCCGGCCCGTGGCTCACTCGGTAGAGTGCGGTGCTGATAACACCCGGGCCCTGGGTTCGGATCCCGTATAGGGATGGCCGGTTTGCTCACTGTCTGAGCGTGGTGCTGACAACACCAAGTCAAGGGTTAGGATCCCCTTACCGGTCATTTAAAAAAAAAAGGGGGGGGGGTTAAAAAGATTTTTTTTTATGTGACCGGTAAGGGGATTGTAACCCTTGGCTCGGTGTCGCCCGCACTGCGCTCAGCCAGTGAGGGCACCGGCTATCCCTATCCAGGATCTGAACGCGCGGCCTCGGCACTCTCAGTGCCGCACTCTACCGAGTGAGCCAGTGGGTTGGCCCCGAAAGGGTATTTTAAAGGGCACTGAGGACACTAGGGTTTTTGAGAGGTAAAAAAGACCCTCTCTCAAAAACTGACCGCGGTCCTCCACGTGACAGGGGGCGCTCCAAGACAGAGCCTCTTTTCCTAGCCTCTCACTGCGCCATCTTAGCGGGATCGTCGTTGCTAGGAGACAGGATGCCTCTTTCTGCTCAAGGGCCCTGGCTCGCGGATAGCCGGGGCTCTCTCTTGCCCGCGGGCTGAAGCCCAAGGTCCCGCTACCACGCAGGGGCAGTTCCGGAAGACCCCTTTCTATGGGAGTTTTTCTTCTACCCCCTCTAATGCAAGCCGAGGCAGGCCGAGGCTGCTTGCCCGGATCCAGCCCCCCGCCCAGCCATGTCTAAGAAAGGGAAAAAGGCCAAGGCGCCCCTGTCCGATGAGGAGCAGCTGCTTCTGTTTCAGCGGAAGTTGCTGGCAGAGGAGGAGATGGCCAAGAAGAAAGAGAGGCTCCTCAGCCAGTTCTTGAAGGTGATGGCCTCTTCATTACGCCCTGCCCAACCCCACTCACCTCCTGCTCTGGCCCTGTCCCCTTGGCCCTATCATTGTGGCAGCCTTGTTTTCATCCCGGCCTCCCTTCCTCCGTAAATCCTAAGACCCAGATATACTTAAATTCTAGGCAACATTGTTTGAGAGGCAGGGGAGTTCTCTGAGAAGCATGGAGGAGTGTGGGTGGTATGGAGTTTGGCAGTCTCAATTGAGCCCCAGAGCTGGGACAGTTGGTGCTATCAGCCGTCCAGCCTGTCTAGAATTTTGATATTCTCCCTGGAGATGGGTCATTACAAATCACATCCTGCTCTGATGCCTCCACCCTGAAGGAAATTCATCTTTGCCCTCCCTAAAATGTCATCAGACTGTCCCCATCTTATTTTCGGCCCTCCCAAAACAAGAACGGGAACCCCCTCAGTTTTAGCCATCAGGAGTTTTGGTCCTTCAGAAAAGACAAGGGGTAAGGTGTCAGGTGACAAATTAAGAGTGATCTTGTTGGTTGTACTGTGTCGGGGCTTTTGGCTCTGACCTCCTGGAGGTATATTGTCCTTCACACAGGACAAGCTGGCCAAGGAGGAGCACAATAGTGCTCTGAACCTTAATAAGATTAACACGCAGTGGAGAACTGTCCTTCGGGAAGTCAAGACCAGAGAGCTTCATAAGGACATTGAGATCCTCAGCCAAACATTTGGACGAGTGGTGGACTGTAAGGACAATGTCATTAAGGTATGTACTCTTTCCAAAGGAACACTAGAGTATGGCCTCCTTGACCTCTTCTCTTAATAGAATGGGCCTTATGAATTAATTAATTAATCAATCTTAAAGCCCTCACAAGACAAAACCAGGCTGTTGGTAATAACAGTCTTCACTGAAATGAAAAATAGAATATTGGCCTGTCATTCATCCCTCTCCCTCCCTTAGATGAGCCACTCTCCTTGGTTATCCACTGCTCCGCACCAGTACTATACAATATTAGAGTTGTAAGACATAGTAGATGTCACCCAATGACTTGACCTTAGTCCCGCACCTTCATTTCAATGTCAGAAGGCTCAGTTACAGAGAGGGGAACTGACTTGCCCATTGTCATGTAGCTAGTCAGTGAGAAAGCTAGGACTAGAGCATGGGTTTCTTGACTCCCACTCTAGTGCTTCATTCAACCAAATTGTCTGACCTCTTTGATTCAACTCCAGTGGCCCTGGATAAGGTTGATAAGATCTCCACAGGTAAGAGCAATTCTAGATTTCTAAGCAATTCAATTAACCATCCTTATGCTTAGGAGGTTCTTGAATTCTTGATTCCATCCTATCTTTTCTTTTTTCAACTTTTTTTTGGCAGCTGGCCAATATGGGAATCCAAATCCTTGATCTTGGTGTTATCTGCACTGCACTCTAACCCAGTGAGCTAACCAGCCAGCCCCATCCCATCTTTTCTTCTAAGGGATTTTGCTGTCTCCCTTCTTTCATCCTTTTTACATCCCACCTCTGTTTATTGACTCCTTGGTCTTTTCCATCTTAAAACAAAACAAAAAAAAATCCCACAGTAACAGCAAAATATACATTGTCAACATGGTATTCCCCCTCTAGAAAACACACAGCCTAACCCCTGGGAAAAAAATTCAGCAGACTCTGGGCAGCTTCAGGAGATACGTAGTAAAGAGTCCCCAAATTTGCAAAAGCCATTATACGTTAGATGTCCTCACCCCACCAGTTGTACCTTATGGCTTTTTAAGTGGCTTTTTCAGACGCTTATTGGGGGTTATCAAATGCTTGAAGAGAAGACAACCAGTGGTGTTCATAAAGTGATGCTGAGCAGTTGGCCAGATTTACCCATGAGCCAATTAGCTTCTTCCTGTACAACAGCCTTGCAGCTTATGGTTATAATCCTTGCCTTAGGTAAATCATGTGCTGCTAATATTAAGCACCTTCAGGGTCATTCCTGAATAATTGAGACTGTATATATTAAATGTGCAAATGTTAGCAATCCTCACTTGCTATCTCCACTTCTTCACTTCCCATTTACCTTGCCTCCCACAACATCTAATTTCCACCCTTATCTAGGGAATTACTCTGGTAAAGGCCACCAGTCCAACATCATGGCTACTTTTCATCATTTAGTCTTCATCTAACCTGACCTTTCTATGGCACTGACACTCTTGGTCACGCCCCACCTCTTGAAACTCTCCTTTGGTTTCCATGACACCATTCTGGAATTTCTCCTGCCTCTGGGACACATACATCTAGTCCCCTTTGTGAGTTCACCCTCCTCTCTCCATCCCCTGAACTTAAGCATTCCCCAGATTTCTGAGTCTGGCCATCTTGCCCTTTAACCAGTTGTCTAGGGCCTAGACAATTTTACTCATTACCCTGGCTTTAAATACTACTTATATATTGATGCCTCCCAGGTCTGTAACACCAGCTTGGATTTTTCTCGTGTTCCAAATCCTGATTTCAAGCTTCCTAGATATCTGTTTCCAGCTGTTCATTGTCCTCACAACTGAACTCATGAGCTTCCTTTTCCCCAAACGGCCCCATTCTCCATCCTCCACAATCTGGTCTTCCTTACATTCTCTATTGGGTTGGCTGGATTCACCAAATTCACCCAGTCACCCAACCCAGAAATCTGGGAATCATCCTAGGTTTTGCCTCTGTCCCTGACCTTTGTTACTAAGTCTTGTATATATCTTCCGCTTAAGTATTTTTCAGAGCCACACCCAACTCTCCTTCCCCACTGTCCTGCTGTAGTTGAGACCTGGGCATCATCTCTCAGTGGTTTCCTGTCTTCCATCCTTCATGCTCAACTGCCTCCAGATGATTCTCTACACAACTACCAGGATTATCTTTCTAAAGCAAAAGTCTAATCCTGTTACTCCACTGCTTAAATCTCTTTAATATCTCCCCTCATATACAGGAAAAAATTCAGACTCCATGGTAAGAACATCAAAGCTTTTCCTGATCGGGCCCCTACCTGTACTCTTCTTTCAGCCAGCCTTGTTTCTGACCTGTGCCTTTGCCATGCTGTTCCCCCTATCTGGAATTCTCTTTTCTCCATCTCCCCAGTCTTTCTGGCAAACTTTCAGATTCCCTCCAAGAGTTGATACAAATGATATCTCTTATGTGAAGCCTTCCCCAGTGCTCTTAGTCAGATGTAGGCACTCCTTTTTTTATATCTCATCATCATTCATAAAATCATCAACCTCATAGAAATTTCCATGTTATATTGTGATTTTCTGGTATGTAACTCTTTTCCTACTGAACTGTAAGCTTCTTTGAGAATAGTGAGCATGTCTTTTCATGTCTGAATCTTTAGCATCCAAAGCACAGTGCTGGTACATAGCAAGGGTTTAGTAAACATTTCTTGAGTGAGTGAATAGTCTTCCATTATCAGAACCTATTTCATAGGATCTTTTTTCATTTTAAACATATATGGTAAAGGCTAGCTCTGCGTAGAGGTTGTTGTAGTTTACAATAAGTGAACTCAAGGTGCCTGGATCATGTGGGTGTTCAATAAATGCTTTTAGGGCCAGCCCGGTGGCGCACTGCTACAGTGCGCTGCTTGAGAGCGGAGTGGCGCTCCCGCCGAGGGTTCGGATCCCACATATAGACCGGTTCCCGCTCACT